TTTCAAAATCTCAAATGCATTATCCAAAAGCCATGAAGAAAAACTTAAAAAAAATTCTTGCCCTTCGTCTTAATAAAAAATGCCGAACAAGGATTTGTTGTACCCTAATCCTCCGACGTGCATTCTTGGCCATCTAGGTCTTTTGGAAGCTTATGATCACTCTGTATTCTCGACGGATGTCATTAATGATGTCCGTATGTTTGTAGATCATCCATAGGTCTTGATACATGTGTATTATTTGTCGACCAATAAACCATGCTCAGACTTACTTGTGATCATTTCGACAAATTTCCACTTCGCAAATATGTTCCCGGGTATACTTGCAAACTACAAATAACTCATTCGTGTGCATCTTCGTCGCTTGTAAACCCCAACGGCAACTGTCGTCGATGCAGACAATCATCAACAATGACTTGTTTGATTTCTTCACTTTGAACTCAAAGTAGTATTTCAGTGTAATTCGGTGTGTAGCTTCCTACAAATTTTTCTTTGTTTCAAACAGTTGCTCAACATGCAAATCATCATTAGGAACCACATACACATAATTAAATGACAGTCCATTTGATCCAATCCTTGCGTTCCCGCCCCACTTTATGTCTCTGATGGGATAAAACAATCAAATCCTTATTTGTAAATTCATTATCTTTCTCATTGTCGTGAACTATCAATGAAATTCTGTGTGTAACAGCGAGATCACGATAAGAAAAAACTATCTTGGGAATAACCACATCATCCTTACGAGCTATCTCTATTGTACCCAAAAATTATTGGCATTGTGATCCCCTCCATCTGAATCTTTGCATTCACCTTCTAAGACATTTTTCCTCATTAAAGTCACGCAAAGATGATAGGTGTGCATTCTGTCCAATTCAAATAGATAATTCACTTTAGCATCAGAAGCAACCTTCATAGGTAGAATCAGAATGGATGAATACTCGTTGAATTGAAATTTCAGTTCCATATCGTACTGAGCGAGATTGACTTTTAGCTTGTATTGCAAATTATTGTACATTTTTGCATATGATGTGCTCGATATCATGGAAATTGGAATATCACCACGTATATCACTCGTCCATTTTCATACATATCGATCATTTTTATCCAATTCAAAATCACCAAAGTAATAAATTGAGATTACAACCATAGCATCGCATACATGATCGATCCTATTGTTGATGCATAAAATTTTTTTATCTATGCAATTCCTCTCATCATATGTTTTGGGACACATATCTTTTGAGAGGTAAATCCCATGTGACGTGGGACACAATACTCTTTTGGATTCTTTCATGTTAAATCTCCTCAAGATTTTATCTATGTACGAAAATTGGGATAAGTCAAGCAATCTTTTAGATCTATTTCTATTGATCTTAACTCCTAAGATATAAGCTGCTTTTCCCATGTCTTTCATAGACAAATTCTTTGACCGCCACAATATTACTGATTGAAGCATTGAGATGTCGTTTCTCATTAATAATATATCATCTACATATAATATTAGGCATACGACACATGGTTCATCTTCATTTTTATAAAATTAAACCTTCTGATTGTCTTATCAAAGCAAAGATTCAAGCTCCTAGAGGCTTACTTTAATCCATAAATGGATTGATCAAGCTTGCATACCTTGTTAGCTTCTTTCTATTCCAAACCTTCGGGTTGTGTCAAATACATTTCCCTTCCAAGTTCCTGTTAAGGAAAATAGTTTTAACATCCATTTGTCATATCTCATAATTGTGATATGTAACTATTGCAAGCAAATTCCGAATGGACTTCAACATGGCTACAGGCGAAAAAGTTTCATTAAAGTCAACACCTTATCTTCGTTTATAACCTTTTGCTACTAGCCTAACTTTGTATGTATGGATGTTCCCATCAACGTCAACCTTTTTCTTGTAAATCCATTTACAACTTATAGGTTTTATCCCATCAGGAGGGTCAACCAAGGTCCAAACCTTATTTCATACATTAAGTTCATTTTGGATTACATGGCCTCTTGCCATCTTTTTGAGTCAACGTTTGATTTTGCTTCTGCATAATTAGTAGGTTCATCATCCTCGAATAATAGTAATCGTGAATTCGTACCTTCTAGGAGGTCGAATGGTCCTACTTATATTATGAGTTTCAAAGATTACAATATTTATGTGTAATCACACAATTTTTTTTTGTCCTGGTTGAGAAAAATATCTGAATGGAGGGAAATTGTACGTCCAGCTATGAATCGTTTTATTACCACTTTTATTACATTGAAAAGTTTTAAGATCACTCCTGAAAACCCTCTATCCTCTCCCGACGGCTTTGACTCATGTCTCTAACTAGTTGCTAAGACGATTCCCATTAAAGCATTCTCATTCAACGATCTATCAATGCTAAACAAGTATTATAAAGTTTGGCAACAAGTAGGCATTTTACAAGTCATAGGCTTTCAAAAAGTGCATATGGGAGACTTGTAAGTTCTATCATCATGGATAAAATTTTTTTGGGGAGCCTGCTTGATGGTTGTGCAAATTGTCGCTCCTATTGTGAAGTTGTTACGAATTGTAGTTGTTGGTGAAAAACCTTCATTGGGTTATGTATATGATGGCATGCATAGGACAAGAAAAGGAATAAAAAATATATTCTTAAATAAGAAACCTTTGTATAAGCCTTACACTAATATAATTAAAGAGCGATGGGATAAACATCTTTGCCTTAGCATACATGCAGTAACTTATTTTCTTAATTCTACTTTCATTTATGAAGAAACATTTTGTGAAAATTAGAAGTCATGCAATGCTTACCCAATTTTCTTGAAATAAAAAACATTTGTGGTGATGAGATAAAAGCAATGGGAGAGATAAGGATGGATCGAGAACTTGAAGGAAGTTTTGGAAGAGAATTTGTGTGTGATATGAGAAAATCATTACAACTTGGTGAGCATTTAAATTTAGTTATTTATTGTTTATTTTCACTTATTTAATATAGTTCTTAGGGCTTCAAATTAACTTTAGCCCCTATTTGACACATTCTTTAAAAATTCATTTTCAACTACACATTTTTCAATATAATAATATTTTCCACCACATCAATAAATTTTTCTTACTTTTTAACCACATATTTCCCATCATATCACTATTTAAAATACATTATTTCCTCAATAATATCCATCAAACACCTCATTAATAAAATATGTAGATGAATGGTGGAAATTGTGTGGATATAGTGCTTCTACTTTACAAAACACAGCTATTTGAATTCTTGTCAATCAGCATCTTCTTCGAGACGTGAAAAGAAATGGAGTATCTTTTAACGTATTCATAAGAAAAAAATAAATAGATTGGAGCATCAAAGACTCAATAATTTTGTCTAAGTTACTTATAATTTGCGATTGAAGAATAAATATATAATCTAAAACTCTTTAGTCGCCAGTTTATTTTAGTGTCTCATTTATTTGATAATAGTTTCTTTATCTAACTACTAATGAACAACCTTATAGACTTTACTATAAGAAGAGATCTTATGATCCAATTAATTATGAGTGTTGACAAGATAGGCTTTTGGATAGAGGAAGAAGTACCACCTTAGGATCTTGAGTATGAAGAATTAGATAATGCTATGTATGAAGAAGATGAACTTCCCAGTGCTAATGATCATGAAAGCAATGCTTATGTTCAAGGTTCGTAAGTTTAACAATCGTAACTCATTGTTTTTATATGTGAGTATATTAGTTAGGTATCTTTGTCTAATTTATTGTCTCTTATGTTTGTGCTTTAGATGATAATAGAAGTAATGATGGCTTCATACTTCAGAGATGGGTGATTTAGATACATTGGATGCTATTCGTCGTTTTGGTGTTTCACGTGACTGTGGAAGTGATCAAGGATTAAGGCTTATGGATGAAAACGATGAAGACAAAATTTAACTATTTTATCTTTTATGTTTAGTGCAATTTTTTGGATTCAATTATTACTTGGCATTTTTTAGTGGTGATAGATGATGCAAAAGTTTCAAATTTTAACCATTTAAGTTTTCGTCTTGTTCACATTATTTTTTACTTTATTGATTTATTTTACATTATGTGATTGGATTGAGTAGCACTTTACTTTGTTGATTGTATTTGATTATTTTTGTTAATTATACGTCTTGAGTAGCTAATAGCTTAATACAGTTTTTCTGTGATTTGATTTAGAAAATTTACTTCTCATTCATTCCTTTCTTGTAAATTTTTTTTGAAAAAAAATTCCGGGTTCGATCTCGATTCGAAGCTTTAACCCCTGACCCTTTTCTTTTCCGATTCGATGCCTGAGTCAGTTTTTTATACATTGCTAATTTGACAATTGGAGTTGAGGTGACTGATTTGCATGCATCTTCTCAAAATAACATTTTCTGAGAGCTATTCTCAAAAATTGTCCATGTGATGATTATGGCTTTGGAATTAGGTTTATTATGTGTTTTGTCCTTGCAATGGAGTAGTAAGTTTTTGCCCACTCTTTTATTTATCAAAAAATAAAAATAAAAAATAATCAAAAAAATAAAATAAAGTGAACATCATTATTTTTTATACTTATTTATTTGTCCGACGTTAGTGTTGTGCTTCAAAAAAGTATTACTCAATTCTTATTCTTAAGGAAATAAATATTATTTTATTATTTCAGGTAAGTACTTTTCCCTGACCTTACATTACATGCATGCATGACACTGCTAACAGAAAAAGATAAAGGGGAAAATGTTAAATTTCTGCCATTATTCGCACTTAGCAGCACTTCCAGCTTAGTCAATCGCTGTAACCAAAAATAAAAAATAAAAAATGTCAATAAATTAGAAATAGAATTTAACAAGAAATAGAGATCAAGAAAAAAATGCACTTAATACACTGCCCCACTGTAAATCCGCCCCTGAATGACTGTAAAAGTTGGAAAAATAGGAGATTGAATTTAAACGTTGGAGGATGAGTTTTTCACATTCATCAAAAGTTGGGGACTAAACGTGCAATTTTCTTTTACAGATGGTGTAGGAGCAAACTAACCACCACAGCTGAGAGAAGGGAGGTTGCACTGCGATGGGAGGCGGGCAGCGATCCTAACAGTGTTGCAAATGCACTCGTGATCCAAGGACTGCAGTGCGCCACAGCAGTCGGAGCTTGGGGCGGCGTTGGTGGCGCCTGGAACAACAAAGGGTGCACAAACACTTAGGTTTGCAAGGGAAGAAGAGCAACTACTCTGTGCCTGAGATAGAGTCATGTGGTTTTGCGCCACCAGCAAAAGGAGGAGCACCACCAGCCACGTTGGGCGGAGGCTGAGAGAAACAACAGATTTCATTGCTGCCATGTTTTAAGATTTTTGCTTTTGCTGAATTTTGTGCCTGATTTCTTTGCTATTTATAGTTGTTACTCTGGTGGGATTCTGCATAAAGTGGTGAAAATTTTGCATGAGTGACCTAATTGAAAGTTTGGCTTCACCAATTCTGTGCTTTCGCTCCAGCTCTTATGCTAGTTCGGTCAAGTGAATTCAAACAATATTAAAAAAGGGAAAAAGTTAATTTTGGGGAATACAGTTAATTATGTAATACTAAACATGTTGGAAATTGTATATACATACAAAAAAAAAATTTAATGATTATTTAAGTGAAAATCGTTAGTCGGTGAAGGAGAAACTAAGACCAAATATAAATACGTGAAATTCTTGGAAAATAATTATAGAATAATCCAGAACCTATATGGATGAAGAGTTGTGTCATTTTGAAATAATATTTTTCAAAAGTCACGTCTCTTTATTGTAGATACATGTTGTTTTGGACAAAAATTTTCAGCAAGACTTGTCTTTTCATTAAATTGTGTCTTTTGAAACACAACTTTTGGATCACTTATATAGATCTCATATGTTTGAAATTTCATCATGACTTGAGCCTTGCATCACATTAATGCATATTTATTTCAAAATAATTTCTATATTTATTTTGAGTCAAGTTTCATATAATGAGAGTTCAAAACATCAATGAGTTCGTTGGTCTATGTAATTTGAAATTTTCCTGTTATATGATGTGATCGTTATATCTTAGGAGATGAATGTCGAAAAATCGTTAGCACTTGTGGGGAGCATTATCGTCTTAAAGGAAAAAAGTCGAACTCTTGCTTCGATCGAATTAATATTTATGCATTTTTCGTTTCTATTTTACATTTTTCATTTTGATAACTTGAACTTTTGTTCACTTTTATGCATATAAAATGCTAGTTATTGATAAGGATGACAAAAAAACCCTTTTCAATCCGATACCTGTGGAGCTTCGCCCTAAATGGGATGAGAATTATCCGTCTAAACGGGTAAACGGGGTAAGGACGGGGCGAGAGTCATTACCCCGAAGTGGGTAAGGGGTGGGTACGGGAAACATAGTCCCCATCCCCTTACCCGCCCCGTTTAAATTTAATTTTAAATCTAAGTTTTTTTATCAAACAACAATAATAAATTTATCATTATTTTTAAAGAAAACATGAGTTGTTTTTAACAAATTAGTAAAAAAAATAAAATAATATTTACTAACTAAAGACATAAAAAAATAAAAGCAATAAATAAAATAAACAAAAAAGAAAAAGAAAAAAATAAATGGGGCAATAAATGTAGCAGGGACCTGCCCAACCCCGTCCCGAACCCTCCCTGTCCCAGTTTAACCGGGTATGGGGATGAGGTAAGATAACAAAAATATTTGACGGGATGGGGTGAGAATGGCCGATCCGTCTCATACCCGCCCCGTTATCATCCATAGTTATTGAAATATAATTTGTGCACGTTAATTTTCCCAACAATCTTAAAACAGTAGTTTTGTGCATATTATATTTGCAATGGGAATCGTGTTATTGCATGAACAACAATCTTAAAGATAGATTTTTTTTGATATATCATGATTATGAAGAAAAATAATTATGATCTGCAGTGTTTTAGTTGGAAAAATTCATCTATGTCCATCAACTTATTCAATGGTATTGGTAGCTAGTAAGGCATTAGAATAATGCTTCAATTTATATTCACAGTCAATAAAATGCACCATAACCCGTTGTGATTTACTACACGTGCAACATTAGAGCAGTATAATAGATGTGTACAGGGGACGCAGACATTGTAGGTTAGGGGCACAATCAAACCCTATACAAATCGAATAATTTGTTCTTGATTTTTAAATGATTCATACTTGACTTGAGACAATGCAGATTTACATTTAAAAAAATATTTCTTCATTAATATTTTGCTAATAATTTTCATTCATTTGATTTAATGTTTTGTTCATAAAAAGAAAATGCATATTTATGTTTAAAAATCATATAATGCATTTGATACAAACAATCAATTCAAGTAATCAAAAAGAAAAACATACAATTAATATTCAATACTAATAATCAATCAAATAAACACAATTCGATAAATATAAGTCAAATTTGATATAATGAGTTCGAACACATTCTATATACACAGTTTGATAGGAGAAAATGCAAATTTAGGCTCTAATTACTTGAAAATTTGATTGAAAAACAAAGATTTATAGTAAATATGATAATTTGTAGAGAAATTATATACAAATTTTAAAAAATTAGAAGGGTTAAGATTTTGGTAAAAGGTGTGAAGAAAAGAATAAAAGAGAGCAAGAGAAAAATTTAAATTTATTGTGATCTTGCCCCTATTTGGTAGAAATTAAAATCAAATTTTAGTCAATTTTGATGAAAGTTAAACAGTTATGGATTTCATGAAATATGTTATTAAAATTAATTTTTACCTTTGATTTAGATTAAAATTTAGATTTCAATCGATACCAAACATAACTTTATAAATAATAATAATAATAAAAAAAACCTCAAAAGTTGGGGGGGTCATGTGACCCCCGGGAACCCCCCCCCCCCCCCAGGTTTGCCTCTAGATGTGTATGAATTTTATGCATTCTTATTGCGACAAAAAATGAAGATGCACGGTTCTTCATGAAAATGTCTATTTGAAGTTCGACGTAAAGATATAATTCAACTCGAGTAGGGATTCTCGTGCAAATCTATCCAATTTTATATATTCACGATTAAACCATTATTGTATGAAATAAATGTTGAATATTTATAAAACTCAAACTTTATGAAACTTCACGTATTGTCAAGACTCAAGATCTCTACGTCAAATTACCAAGATAATTAATAAATGCGGAACATAACTTGATTCATTGTTTTGAAACTTGAAGATCAACTTGCAATCTCTTTAATCTTGATTTCTTGCTCTTTAATCTCGATTGCTTCAATCCTTCTTGATTGATTGTTTTAATTTATTGTTGATCTTGATTGTAGATTTTTTGGATATTTCTTTTTCCTATGTTTTTTCTTGTATTTTTGTGTTGATGTGATGACACAAAGACAACCCTATTTATTTATTTCCATAAGTATTTGGACCCATCATAAAATACAACCCTAAAGTAACTTCTACAATAGATAATTAGAACTTACAGTATGATCCAGTCTAAAAAATTCACTAGACTCGTTGATCTAATTCATGCAATCTTGAAGACCCGTTGGAATATGCTTCACTCACACTTGTTTCCGATCTTCTAGAATTGTTTATCTTCTCTGGATCACCAAAAATATCTTGTTCTTGTACTCTTCATGTGCTTGTGGTCCAACCTCTCGCAATCTTCGACAACCTCGGAAAGCTATTGAGAAAATACCTTCCAGATTATAAATAGGAAGCGAGCGTTTTGGATTATATGAATTTGATATTTTTTCCAACTTGTGGTTGATTGATTTCAAGAATCAAAAGTTTAATCTCAATGTTAAGATATGTTCTTAGATATTGGAATGATGTTATGAAGATGCATTATAATGATCAACCACCAACAAAAATGTAATGGACATTGGGTATTTATAATATGAGCTACTTTGGTAGTAGATTATAAAACTATTGAAAATTGCGAACTAGAGTTTCACGTATAATACTGTCGCTCGAGCTCCAAGCTAGCGATAGGGGAGTGAGAGGTGTATCGTTTGAGCGACAGGTGGGAGACAATACTTTTGCTTTTTTTTGCTCGAGCATCAGTTAGGTGATAGTCTAGCATAAATCCGACGACTCTTTCTTCTTGTTCCATATTTAAACTCAAGGACTCCTAGTTCATCTACACAACCCCCAAAAGACTCCTTGACTTTTGCAACTCTTTTATAATAATTCTATTCTTTTATAATAATCATTTTGTTTAAAGAATTGCCAATACAACTAAAAACCTAATGATCTTCCCTTTTGGCATTCTGTAACAAAACTATACAATATAAATCAATGATGTAAAATAAAATAAAAAATTCTAATATACCCAAACTCAATTTGAATATGTCTCTCTCATTCCTTGAAACCTGTTTTTTGAAATCAACAACTCAAATATCAAGTGTAAAAACACGTGAAATAGGAAATATAATAATTGAAACAAGCTATCATAAATGTGCTAGTTAGATTGAGAAGTAATAATAATGTTAATCAAAATATCAACTAAAATCTTAATATCGCAAAACTTCAAAACACAGAAAAGTTAAGCATTCAAAATGTCGAATGAACATCATCCCCTTATTGCAAACTCTACCTAAAATGCAGTTACATTATCAAAGAAAATGCCCATCATCTCCTCTTCCCCTTTTTATCATAGATGACGAAGGGAACTATAACTAAAAAGTATAATAAATCAAAGTTGCAGTTGATAGCATGCACAAGAATAATCAATGATTAGTAAACTTTTCTAGATACTTAGTTCAAGTATAAATAGAGTAAAATGTAAAAGTGATTCATGTGTGTAAAGTGCAATTAATTCCTTGTAAGCAAGACTCCAAGACATACTAAACATTACTTTCAAATAGGTTTATTCCCATACTAATGAAAGTTAAACCAATATTGTATATTAGGACATATTAATAAAGTTCATTTTTCATGTATATTATTATTTTCTTCTCCTTACTTTGAGCATATATACATTTTCGAGAAATTTATATTTTTCTTTTTAAACTCATCATTTTATTTTCAATTTTTCACGTCTTATATGCAGACTCTCAATGAGAAACACCTCAAGCTTAATTGCTCGAGTTAAATAAACTTTTATTATTATTATTATTATTATTATTATTATTATTATTATTATTATTATTATTATTATTATTATTATTATTATTATTTAAGTGGAATAACAAAAAAAAAAAAAAAAGCACACAAATGAAATCTCTACAAAAATTTCCAATCGGAAATATTCTCCAAAAACTCTGCCATCCACCTAGGGGCAAACCTCAATACTTAAGTAATAACAAAATTCCAAGAAATTCCTTGGACGCTAAAGT